TTGCAATCGTCGTCTAATTATACAGTCAAAAAAGATTTAATCCGCGAAAGAAAATAAAGGCTGATCCGAGTTTAACGCGGTTATCTCGCGGCCGAATCTCGGCAAATTCGTATTGTATTATACCACCGATTCGAGTTGTAAAGCTAACATTCTTATAATCGTACAATAATATGTATATAACTTTAACCTTGAAAATATGTATTGAGTATTATGATCAGTACCATTTGAATTCATTAATTTCCGACGAAGGGTAACAATATATCAGCAAGGTCTACAATAGAAGTCGTAACGGTCGTAGAGTCTTAAATCGTAGAAAATCAACCAGTCACAGTTGAATATGAGAAGAATACTTTACTATGATTGGTCAATTTTCTACGACTTAGACCCAGTTTCACAATTCACGATTAACTCTTAACCGAGGTTCTCTTTTCAATTCTAGAATTGAAAATAGATGAAGAATAAGTTAAACTTTTGTTAAAAGTTAAATATGAATTGTGGAACTGGGCCTTATAAGACTCTACACTGAGAAAAAGATGCCTATAAAAATATATTTTTGTGAGAAATATATTTATTTCACTGAAATAGATATTTATTTAAATAGATATTTATTTCATTGAAATAAATATTTATTTAAATACAGACGAAATAATATTTTATTCCTAGCAAATAAGCCATTAATTTTATTTTTTTGCAATTAATGAGATATTTTCGTAGGAATGAAATATATTTCACACAAATAAGATATATTCCACAGAAATGTATATTTCATCGTATATTATATCGTCATCACAATTTCGTAAGTAACATTTGCTTCGCGATACTTCGACATTTTTCTCTCAGTTTACGACCGCTACGACTTCTATTGTAGAACCCGCATAATAAGCCTTGTACAATAAGCCATTAGTTATAAATCAGAAGTCAGAAACTAAAAATTGACGACTGATTGATCATTTTTTCAAGCTTTTCACTTCTGATTTATGACTAATGGCTTATTGTGGAAGGCCCAAGAATATGATGTTAGAAGCAATTTTTGTCGTTCTCGTAAGAACGACAGAAAATTTTACAAAGCTGATTCATCGTTGTGCATTAAATATCATTGAACGTCAATCAGTGTTTACAAAACATTGCGTTCTAATAAATCATAAAATTAACATCGCGAGCTGAGTTCACATTTTGACAATCACGCACGAATTGCCTAATGGTATGTTATTGTCGATATGTATTTTTTTTATTTTCAAAGGACATTCTATTGAAATCTTTTTGCTAGAATAACATGTAACATTAATTTATCCGCCCGTAATCGCTCGGATTAGCCTATTTTTTCTGCCATGAATTTGTAATTCAAGATTCTGCTTAGGAATTTAGTTGATTTCTAATCTGGCTCCTTTTGAGAGGCAAAGAAAGAGATCTAACTTAGAGGATGAAAAGATGGATTGTCCATGCGAGCGATAATTATGGAAAGTGCGTCTTTTGAGATTGGATAAAGTGACAATTACATTTATAATATACTCACAAGTCATAATGATTGCAAAAAAGATATCGTACATCATTTGAAATAAATCATCAATTTTTGAGCGCGTTTAATGCGCTTTTTTCAAGCTTTGCGATTAAAATCGCAAATTGTCTAAAGTATTTGGTCTCTTTTTCCACCACGTTCGCGTTCCCTTCACAATCACAAGCTCTCGCTTTATTGAGAAGGAAAAAAAAAAGAGTGGTTGTTATTCAAGGACCAAGGCCTTAGATCAAAATCTATTTCTTTTTTTCTTGTGCTTAACTCATAATTAGTATCTAATGTTGATACATAACATATAATGTAATCTATCCTTATAAGATTAGTAATCTAATAATAACTTATAGTTACTATCGAGATTGGAAAAAAATTGTGTACATATCGTATGTATGCGTGCATGCGTGTATGCATGGCATGCGTGCATGCATGCCCACACATGTGTATATGTATGTGTGTTTACAATAGATACACGTCAAGGTGCGGAAACATTTAGACAAAAAAATTTTTAAAAAATTATATAATTAAAATATGAACGTCCTGGGTATACACGTGAAGTTCGCGCGAGCGATGAATCCAACTGATACTTCCTGCTGTTGACGAAATAGCACATCTAGTAGTAACGAGGAAAACAGAGAATCTTGCGGTATAATCATAGTTTACACAATATTTAGCGCAGCATCGTGTCATACTATCGATATCCTATAAATGTATCATAAAATGTATATCACCATAGCTGATTGTGTCCGGCAGTCTGTCTTTAATAACGTAAGATGGATAAAACCTATCTTGAAACAAAGTTCTATTATTTGCGTGTTGTCTGTGTACGGTCTGCGTTTTGATCTGTATGAACAAAAAAAAAAAGAAAATAGGATAGGAAATAGACGTATATGAAGATAATCACCGCTAGAGATTGATAATGAGCTCATAGTGTGACAAAGGCTTCCCTAAGTTATCTAGGTAATCTCAGGAGCTTTGTTCTTGAAAAGAAACGTATACGAAAAACTAGTATACGTGCATGCATGTTATAAAACATAAACAAAAAAAAATTTTTTAAATTGTACAATTGAAATGTGAACGTTCTGGGTATAACAATGTGAAGTTCGCGCAATCCATGAATCCAACCGAAAAACTTCCTGTTGTCGACAAAATAGCACGTCTACTTATAACGAGGAAAACTGAGAATGTAACGTAGTTATATGTTTCTTTTCAAAAATAGGGATCCAGAATGTTTAAGGCGTGAAACGAACAGGGATGACAAACACGAATTTAACGTTTCTTTCACATTTCTATCGAGCAGCAATTCCTGTTCGCTGTATAAAGACTGCTCTTCATATCGCGAAAAGACTGTTAACACAAGTGATGATACAGGCACTAGAAAATCTTGACAATTAATAGAACTTGCGGTTTCGACCACGAAATTGAAAGAATTAATTGATTAACATAATTGTAAAGAATGTAGATAAGACAATAGGACTACATTTACAATGAGATTTAGATACATCGAAATTATATTGTAACAAGGCTGAAGAAGCTACATTCAGAAAAAAAAGAAAAAGGTTTTTTCTCAGACGTCGCAAAGGCATCAACGGTTTGGCTTAACTCTCCATTGAGTTAAAGTTTAACGCGAGTGGACGCGTCCACTTGAGAAGATCTCCAAGCCAAGCTAACTAATGTCTTTGAAATTAAATCTGTATACTGTGTATACCATATTTGCTGCGTGCGAAAATATATATTGAAAACAGACGAGGGGTAGAATAGAAAGAGAGAGAAAGAGAGAGAGAGAGAGAGAGAAAGAGAGAAAGAGAAAAATTAAAGGGAAACGATACAGATATTTTGTTACTATTAATTACTATTCGCCTGTTTCACCCATGACACAGTGTATATTTTAATTATAGCAAAAAAAAAATAAAAATGCCCATTATTTCAATTGTTCCTTGTGGCATTTATAATATACAATATATACATATATAACGCAAAAAGTTTATTTGTTCTCTGTTAATAACTGTTCGTTCTTTATAAATTCGTGTTTCAAGCTTATTTCTTTTTAAAAAAATTGAGAATTTTGAAGACTTCTCTCATCTTTAGTTTTATATATAAAATGTGTATATATATATGAATATTTAGATATATATATATTATATTATATTATAATTTATAATATATTTAATATTATATGCATATATATATATAAATGAAAGTATTAAATATCTAATCTTAATTCAGTTATACATATATATCTTCTTTTTTACATATTCAATTTTAATCTTGGTTCAACTAAGTTTTTATCTTTTTATAGTTCTGGTTCCAAACTTTTTAGAAATCTGATTCCACCGACATAAGATTACTTAATCTTGGTGAAACTAGGCTTTAAAAAGACTTGGAACCAAAATTATAAAAACTTAATTAACACAAGAACTTTAATCTGTGTTCAATTTACTTTTTATCTTTTTTCAATTCTAAGAATTAGAGAGTAAATTAAAGAATAAAGGAGTAAATTGAACAAAGATTCTAAGAATTAAAAAAGATAAAGAGTAAATTAAATCGAGATTAAAGTTAATCCACATTGGTAGAAATTAGTCATATTTAATTTTAATTTTCTATTTTATATGTTGAATTTAATTAACAATCTTCAATCATATATATACAAGGTGTTTCACAACTACCGCATTTCTTAAGAACGTATTGAGGTAATTTTGAGACAAAAATCCTAATAAAAAAATGTCGAGGCTATTATTATAGCCTATTATTATAGCCTCGACATTTTCGTATTAGGATTTTTGTCTCAAAATTATCTCAAGAATGTCCTTAAGAGGAAATGCGGTAGTTGTGAGATACCCTGTATATACAGAGTGTATCTGAAATAACATACACTAATCATACAGTGCTATTCCTAATAAAAAACTGAGTCGAAAAGTCCTCTACCATTTTGCAATTTTCGCAATAGTTAACAAGATATTAATTACTAAAAATCGCTAAAATTATGAGAATTTTTTCAGAATTTTTTAATACCGTATTTTCTCATGTTGGTAAAAATAAGGAAATGCAATACTAAAAAATTGATAAAAAATTCTTAGTTTTATGAAAAGAAAATAAACAATTTTTATTTCTAGCAGTTTTTCTGTAAAGTTGATAGTATTTGAGTAAAAAATTATTGAAAACCAATATTAGCGATTTTTTTCGACTCAGTTTTTTATTAGAAATAGCACTGTATGATTAGTGTACGTTATTTTAGATACATCCTGTATATATATATATATTCAGTTTTAATTTTCTATCTTATCTATTCAATCTTATACGTAAATATAACTTCATCTTATTTTACTTGACGAATAAATATGATCAAATAAGCTTTTTGCACAAATCCAACACTTTCTTTTTAATTTCATTGTCTGGCGAGCGTAGAAGGGGACTGCGGATAACATTAACGGTCCCCTCAACAGATGCCGCTGCGCCATCCTCGTGGTGTCCCTCGGCATCGCTTGGCACGTCGGTTTTCAATACCCCGGTACTCCCGGTAGTTTCATGAGCGGCGCTGACTTGTCGTTGGTGTGTGTATGTGTATAACAGCTGTATATCAAGTTCGTTGCGTTTTTGGTACGGTTTTTGGACGGCTGTTCTCGTACGGAAACCGAACGACCGGAGGCGTTTTCTGTGGAGTGGAGGTGGAGGATCATCGCGGACTGATCGGGCGAACCCGGTGAAGCGAGCGAAGAAGTAAAGAAGAGAAAGCGTGTTTCCGAAGCGCGCGGGTGCTATGCCTCACCCACAATCGGCAGAGGTGCCATCAAGATCGGTCACCCTGCTCCGACGATCGCGGGGATTCGAGATGTAGCCCCTCTTCCTCTCCTCCACCCGCCTAATCCCGCTGCTCCAGTGCTCCTGCTTCTTGTCCCGCTGAGTCCTGAAGAAAATACACGCACACACACATACACACACACACGCTCTCTTTCTCTCTCTCTTTTTTCTCTCTCTCTATATCTCTCTTTCGCATTGTCGTCGCAACACCCTGGTCACATCGATGCGTCGTCACGCAACATCGACGGGCTTTCGTGCAACAACGCTCACGGATCTTGATCGCCGCATCGAGCCACCTGCGACTACGTCGCTCTCCTCATCGTCATCATTAACATCATCGCTGTCTCTCACAACAAGTGCCTTCTCTCGACTTCTGTCGTTCGGCCGTGTGGGCCTTCCGGTCGCAGGGAAGGCGGGCGTGGACGTTTTACCTGCCGACGACGATCTTAGATCGTACCTTTGTCTAATCCTGCCTGTGCATCTCGGTAAGTGGACAGTCTTCAACGCGGTGCTGCCGAAGGGACGAATACCTTTATATGATAGTGATAAGGGGAAAAAAAACGACTTCTATATAGGAGAACAGGTTCCAGTTCGCCGTGTTTGGGTTGCTGTTGAAAATGATCTCTCATTACGTCCCGGGTTGAATTTATTCAAGCGAGTTTTAAATCGACGAGCGATGTACTCGCATCAATCAAAAGCTGATCCTGCAACTCTGCAAGATTAGAAATGTTAGATTGACTGAAAGTCACTGTTTTTGTCTTCTAATGCCTGTTGCTATCTTGATTCAACTTACTCTTCATCTTATAATTTTTAGAACAAGATGAAGAGTTAGTTGAACCGAGATTAAAATTAAAACACATTGGTAGAAACGGGCTTAAAAATGTCAAATTAATACTAAAAGTGATATTCGACCGTTTCTCTCAATCTTTCATGGATTTATAAAGAGACACGATTTAATTCTTACCAACGGACTTTAACGTACTTGATAATCGATGCTGAAAAACTAGGAGATCATATTATTGAAATTGTCTTGTAATTTGTCTCTCAAAGATGAGAGACAATTCTTTTCTCAGACCATCATTTGATGGATCGAGAATTAGAATTAACGACGAGCGTATCTTTATTCTCAAGACCGCATAAGGAGCTGCTTATCTACGGAATCGGAAATTTTTCGAGTCAGCACATTTTTATTACAGTGCGTAGAGTAAGAAAAATGCGTGTTTTAATCGCGTGACTTGACATTGCACAACGCATCGTCGGCTATCGTCGATTGTTTGCGCCCTAGATACGTGCAATTGTTGCGTGTCGTTGGACGCATGTATTTAAAAAAGTGACAGTACTTACGTCGCGTTAAAACCTACGTGGTATTTTTATCGAGCGGAGACGTGGCAACCTCATTGAAATTGTATAACCTAATTGAAAATATTGTGAAATTGATAATTACAGTGACACGGCAAAACTACCGAAGATTTAGATTGCAACCAACATTTTTTTTTTCTAACCGGAACGCGGTGATCTTTGGAAATTGCGTAGTCTAACCAACGATCTAAGTGACAGCAACAAGCTAAATCATTCGCTGATTCGTATAGTTTCATCTTATGCATAATTTACTGTAATTATTTAAATCGATAGATATTAGCATTATATGTACAAATATTGGTGATACGCTAATAACTTAATGATATACTTCACTTAGTTGATTTAAAGATTTCATAATTAGCCTTATGTACTCATTAAATCAGGTTCATCAGATCTAATCTAATCTTCCACTATCTGTGTTCATAGAGGAAAATTCTAGACTTTCAGATATATATTTTCTTTTTTAGATAGATATAAATCCTGAATTCTCTCTCAGAATGTATGTCTAGAATGTATGAGAAAGATAATATATCTGAAAGAAGGATGTAGTATTTTTTTCTATGAAATTCTATCTATACAAATAGAAAATTAGTTTAGGTTTAATGAATATAACTATCACTAAGGTAATAAAAAGTTAATTAAGTGGAGCTTTTAAGGCTCAGGTAATTTACGAGTATAATTTTTCAAATAATTTTGAATTACATTTTAATTCTTAGATCAAATTATATTACGAAATTAATCCAGAATATTTTACATATTTTTTTATTACGATAACAGAGCAGTAAAAATAACATTAGGCCTGTTCTTTTCAGCTGAACTTTTGCATCAGGTCATCTAAAATGAACAGGCCTATTGTGTTTGTAGTATATGAAGCACTTCATATTTTATTTTAATAAAGCCGGATTAAGATTCTTATTTGAAAATAAAAAATTTTTATTGTTAAATTATGAGAATTTAAAAATATTGAAGAGAAAAAATTGTGTCTTCCATGTAGGATAAACATTCATAAAAGAAGTTAAAAGAACAATAGTCAGATCTATCCTTTAGATGTGTATAGATATCCGTAACAAAAGAGAAAAAAAACATGTGTATACCAGTGCACACGTGTAACTTGGTATAGCCATCAACAGCCATCTATAGCAGGCGAACACTCAGGGATTAAGTAAAATATCGATATCTTATGTTTGTGAATATTGTGATTTTACAGAGAGATGAATCAGTTGGTTAAAACGGAGATGTATTGCTGAAAAACAGCACGAAAAACAAAGGGTGATTGTTGTTCGAGTGGCGATCCTCGGTAACATAACCTAAAAGGCAAAATGTCTCAACTAAACATCAACACTGGCAAGCGAGGGAGAGGAGTCGCAAGTACCTCCGCGTCGTCCGTATCCGCCATGAGCAGTTCCACCGATCTGGCAAGCCTTTTCGAGTGTCCTGTCTGTTTCGACTATGTGCTTCCACCTATTCTGCAATGTCAAAGTGGACATTTAGTTTGCACAAATTGCAGACCAAAGCTTTCCTGTTGTCCCACGTGCAGGGGTCCATTGGGTACGTTAACGATGAAATATCTTTTTTTTTTTATTATCGAGATTGTATCTAACGAGAATTTGGTTGATGTGTGTGTACAGGTAACATTCGTAATTTGGCTATGGAAAAGGTAGCGAGTAATGTAATGTTTCCCTGCAAATACTCCACTAGTGGCTGCACAGTTTCGCTGGTACATACCGAGAAGGCAGATCATGAAGATGCATGTGAGTTCCGTCCATACAGCTGTCCCTGTCCGGGTGCGTCCTGTAAATGGCAAGGATCGCTGGAGCAAGTGATGCCGCATCTTATTATGAGCCACAAAAGCATTACGACTTTACAAGGTAATAAATCTGTGCCGTCTGATCGTACCTTGATTCTAAACTTCTAAGGGTACATTCAGACCTTGACGGAAAAGCAGAAAGCGGAAAAGCAGTGGCCAGTCACAATTCGCGCTGGTAGTAAGTAGCACAAAAAGCTGAAATTGTCGACTACCAGTACGAGTTTTGATTGGCTGCTGCTTTTACGCTTTCTGCTTTTCCGTCAAGATGTGAATGTGCCCTAACACAATGCTTTCGTGGAATGTTCTCTAGGCGAAGACATTGTTTTTTTGGCAACTGACATTAATCTTCCTGGAGCTGTGGATTGGGTCATGATGCAATCTTGTTTTGGCCACCACTTCATGTTGGTGCTTGAGAAACAAGAGAAATATGATGGACATCAACAATTTTTCGCGATTGTACAATTAATCGGCTCCAGGAAGCAAGCAGAGAACTTTGCTTACAGGTAATTGTATCGTGTTATTTATCTGAAAGTATTTAATATCTAATTCAATAGATTTAATATTTCCATCTCTTGTATAAATGTTTTTAAATTAAACTATCGTGTTCAACAGACTAGAACTAAATGGACATAGGAGACGTCTCACATGGGAAGCAATGCCGCGTTCTATTCATGAGGGTGTGTCGTCCGCGATTTTAAATTCTGACTGCCTTGTATTTGACACCTCAATAGCACAGCTGTTTGCTGACAATGGAAACTTAGGAATTAACGTTACGATTTCTATGGCCTGAGGAAAGCCAGAAAAAGCAGTGTAAAAAGAAGAAGTAACATCATTACTTGGACATATCGAGCAGTCCTTGGGGAATGGTGGGTGCGATAAAGTATTCGAGTGGGACTGCTCGCTATGCATAGAGAACAGTTCTTTTTATGTTACCAAATGGATATTAGCAATACAGAGACATAGGGAATGTTGTTTCGAGTATGTTGACGATACGCAGCATTTGGATGCTCAGTATAGGACCGTCGTTGAAAAGCTTTAAAAGTATACTTGGATGTGATATTGATATATCACGGAGATAAATGTAATAAACATCTTTTCGATATATCCATGCTGTGACTTTGGAGCTTTGATGCTGAGCACGATATCGTTATTTCCGAGGAAAAGAAAGTACCTGATATCCGCGCTATTGTCATATTACTCTTACTCATTTCACATCAAACTTTCATTCATATCTCTTTGAGGAGAGACAACGTATTGGATTCTACTGACATCTCTTTTGTTATTTGTATTTTAATCCTTTTCTCGACTTAGTACAACGAATATTACGAAGCAAACTTCAAGTTTGCTATGAATATTGTTTGTGCTATGAATGTAAATAGTGTACTTCATTTTCCGCCTACATACTTTTATATTATTTTTATTTATAAAATTTACTTTCAATTTTCTAAAATATGTTATACTTTCATTTTTCGTATATTTTATCTTATTAAAGGATCTGTATGTATGTATTTTGTATATAACGCGATAAATCCGGCTTTTGTAATTAGCATGAACGGAACTTTTTTGTTATTTCGCATTATATAATAACACGATATCGTGCTTTTTGCGATTTTTACGCAAATAGCAGTGAAAGGCAGATCAGTTTTTCACGATCTAGTCTGAATGTCGAAGCAAGATACTAATATTTTTACAACAGTTGTATTAACATGAGATGCGTTCTGAAATGTACTAATAACACTGAATAATTATGGCACGCTTGAATTATAGATTTGTCAGAGCTGTCAGTACATTTTGGAATGTACTCACGATATGGAGCAATGTTCAATTGCAGCAAAGTTCCTGTAAGCAAGAGGGGAAGGGAAGTTTAAAAATGACTGAAGCAATGATACATTAAAATATAAAAGGAACGTTTTATACAATTTAAGTTTTAATGTATTTTGCAATATTCTCTTTTTCTTTTGCAAATATTAACGTCACATGTCACTTACTCTTAAATAAAACTTATTTTATCAATATCGATGCAAAAGAAAAGAAATTGTATATCACGTTCAATATCTATCGAATTAATTCTTTTAACAAATGTCTTTTTTTATAAATCAGATTTTATACAGAGTGCTATTATACAATGGATAACTCATTCTCGCAATAAGATATTCTCATGAAGCTATAAATTTTCTTTATCTTTGTAATTTATGCTTCTCAAAATGCATTCAGACTCTTCCTTTATATTGTTATTTTACATAATGTTGTATAAGTTTTAAAAAGCAATGAGGTATTTAGCAAAAACAGAGCATTGAACCGAATTGTATCACTAAAAAAAAAAGTTCAATAAATCTAACGAACAACGGAAGGAAGATACGGAGAATATTGTTTTCTTTGGAGAAACAATTAGACTGAAATGTAACTATATGAGATGAGAGTAGACTAAGTTATAACGATTAATTATATATTTTTCATAAATTGTGGAAACTTGCACAAATTTTGCTAATTAATTCGTATATATTGTTGAAACAACGGCCTTATTGAAGGCTGCTGACGAAGTTAGATTAATATCACTACATTTTATATCACCAGCAATTACTTGCGAATTATTCATCGGTTTAATGCCCTGTAACGCAGTTGTGAAAGAGAGGAGATTTCACGAGGCGGAAGCACTGTTACTGTAAATAAGAAAACTTATTATGTGATATAATTAGTATTAGTAATGTACATCACGACATGCCGATATTCACGATGTTGGAAATAACTCGAGGGAACCAAGTGCACGGTGTGCGCGCACATCGTAAAATGATTTTGTGCATATTATCTTGCAACGGATTATATTTACACACGTCTGTCAGGCGGATATTTAATTTTAGTGAACTCACGTTGAGAAATGAGCGTTCTTGGCGGTTATAAAAAAAAAAACAGGAGAGAAAACGAGATCAAGCCCCTGAGTATTAACGTTGATTGTTATACCTCGTATCGAGACTAAGAGAACATCTTCCCGGACTGTTAGCGTGAAGCGTAACTCGACAAATCTCGATTGAGATTACGGAAACCAGTGCACTTGTATTGAGATCACGATGCGATTGGTACAAGAATTCTGTATAGAATTATCGTGCGATATAGGGAAGAATTATAGATGTACATGCTGGATTTTTATCTCTGAAAACACGACACTGAGCGGGGACCTAATAATTTATGTTTTGAGGAAACGCATCACGTTGTTAAGTACCTTGTATATACGATATAAGATAAACGATATAGCGTAATCCTTATCCTTTAATCAAGTAGTAATTTATTCTCTAGCATTCTTAGCATGGCTTCATTGCCGTTTCATTGAACACGATCATAGAAAAAAGGCATTTTACGTTTTGATTCTCCTGACGAATATATCTATTGTTTCACTTTTATCGCAGAAAATGATTATATAACATAATAATCTCAAAAAGGAAAAAAAAGACTAGAAAATTGATTCGTTACGTTATGAGAAATGAATGGGAAATAAATGGGTTGGTGAGAATACGTAAAACGTCGAAGGCTTTGGCAACTTGTCGCATGATAACGCTGAATGACAATCTCATCGTTATTTTGTTTCTGTAGATCTATGTTACAGTATGTGACTTCCCCTTTTTACTTGAAATACATTGAAATTACCGGAATACTGGGAACCGTCGATTTTTAACGGAACTTGGTTATTCACGAGATGTGCTGTTTTAGTTACGAGAGGCGAGGAATGTAATTGTACTGTGCGTACACTTGGCGTATACCCGACATATCCCGGATAAATCGAGCGAACGAGAACGAAAGGTTTCCTTGTTTCTGACGACACAATTTGCGAAATCACGAATAAATCGTTGCGTCGATCGGCGAGTCCACGACAAGTTCTTTGTATTCTATTACGAGGTGTCTAGTGGAGGAGTCGGCGGTGCTCGTGTATTCGCAGAATAGTATAATTGTCGAGAAAATAGCTTTATTTAAATATAATGTATATACTTATATATGCATTTATAGAATCTACAAAATGTTCAAGCCATGTATAAAAAGCATGAATAAATTTTTTTTTATAGATACTTTCCTATCATTGTTGATACATTTTCTTATTTTTTACTTTAATTCTTAAAACTGCTTCTTATCATATATTACAAATATATATAAAAGCTTATAACTGAACAATTTAGACAATTAATAAGACTCATTAACTTGTTATATTTCAAATTATGATTTTATTTTGTAATCATTAATTTTATTCACATCTAGAAATTATTGCGGATATAATGAAGAAGATTAAATAATTTTAGCAATACGCGATAATTTTTATTAAATGAACAAATAAAATTAATGAAATAGAGAACAATTATTAAGTGTGGTTTATGGAATCCACAGTGTTTTACAGAAAATATATAAATTATTGTTCCAGTGCATTTCATAATTATTTGATCAAATTTTATATAATATACAAGTAAATTGGTTTTTCTTATGAACTTTCAATATATTAATAGACCTGTTCTTTTTGGCTGAATTTTTGCACTAGAGATATGCTCCACGCAATTCCTATAAATGAATAAAAATGCATTCAGGATTGAAAAGCGTTCATTTTAACATTCGTGAATTCATATTTCTAAAAATCTGAATCCATTTCAATCCATTTCAATCCATTCTCGTTTACTGGGTAATTGTCTCATATCTTCATTGGAGAAATTCCTGAAAATTTATTTGGTTTTTTCTTGCATTGGTATGTCCCATGTGCTTCTTACACGTGGGTATTAAAGTTACAGCGAGCCGGAGCAGACCGGACATGTGACGCGTTGTTGGCATTGGCGCCGCCAATGGCATGCACATGTCGAGAGTTTGGTTATGCTCTTTCTCGAATCTAAATTGTTTTTTTTTTTAGTCTCGTCCACGAATTGATCAGTGAAAATGAGCTGGAAACTTCCAAAATCGCTTATTTATTCTTCCGTAGTGGCGACCACCGCTGGCGCGGCGTATCTGACGAAGTATAGTGTTGCTCGAAAATCACCCCAAGATTTTACACTATAAATCAATCATTTATTTCCTTACTTTCTATTTTAATACTTTTAGTATCTATAAATATGTGTTTATGTTGTAAAAATATGAACATTGTTTATATAGCTACATAATCTTTCAGTATACTCACATAAATCTTGTTCATACATATAATGTTAATGATAAGACAGTATTTTTTACTTTTTCGTTGTTTCGTGATATAAATAGTAAAAGTGATCATGTCAAACTTGTAGGGATTATATGGGAGGTCCGAAATATGAAGGAAAAGAGGATCTAGTTGATAAAGTAGTCATTGTGACAGGAGCCAATTCCGGTATCGGGAGAGAAACAGTCCTAGAATTAGCCAAACGTAATGCAAAAGTTATTATGGCATGCAGGGATGTGAAAAAATGTGAAACGGTATTTATATAGTCGTAGTATTTACTCAATTGATAAATGAATTATGAAATTGAATAGACAACGTTATATATTGTAATTGTAATATTATATTTAAGTCGATTATTTAGCTTCTCTTGTGTGTTATCATTTTAAATATCTTTTTCTTATATTTAATTAAGGGCAGTATTTATAATCCATTCTGATTTCAAGATCGTTTTGTACTTAAGACAGTCCTGAGTATAAGATCTGACTATACCATCCTATATCTTTTTATTGTATTTTATTCTTGCAGGAACGCCGAATTATTGTACTCGAAACAAAGAACAAATACGTTTATTGTAGGAAATGTGACTTGGCATCGCAAGAAAGTATTAGGAAATTTGTTACACAATTTAAGAAAGGTGATTGATATTTAAAAGTATACGCAGCTAGAAATTTTTTGTTTTTATTCAAATATTTATCTTATTTTGTTTGCAGAGTATGATAAACTTCACATACTTATTAATAACGCTGGTGTGATGAGATGTCCAAAGAGTTTCACTGAAGAAGGCATTGAGATGCAACTTGGAGTCAATTACATGGGACACTTCTTACTCACAAACTTGCTTCTGGACGTCCTGAAAACATCTGCGCCATCCAGAATTGTAAATCTGACCAGCGCTGTTCATCGAACAGGCCAAATAAATATACAGAATTTAAATTGGGATAATAATTATGACGCTGGTAGAGCGTACAGTCAAAGTAAATTAGCTATAATACTTTTCACTCGGGAATTGGCGAGCAGATTGAAAGGTAATTTAATATAATTGTATAAAATTCTTGTTTTCACAGTGATTACTGATGTGTACTTATTTTTCAGGAACCAATGTTACTGTAAACGCTATCCATCCCGGTATAGTTGATACAAACATAACGCGGCATATGTTTGTATACAATAACTTTTTTGTACGAATATTCTTGAAGCCATTTGCTTGGCCATTTATTAAAGCACCTCGGCATGGAGCTCAAACTGTTTTATACGCAGCATTAGATCCTAATCTTACAAATGTTTCCGGATGTTATTTAGAGTAAGTATCATCGAAAATTTAAAAAATGTTAAATGTTACAAATATAATATCAATGTTATTGTTATGTTTACAGTAATTGCGAATCTAAGGAAGTATCAGAGGAAGCAAAGAACGATAACCTGGCAAAATGGTTATGGAAAGTCAGTGAAAAGTGGACAAAATTAAATGTTACATAAATATATACTATACTAGAAATATACAATTGCTAGTTGTAACTTGTTTCCAAATATAATATTAGTCTTTGGTAATTATATGTTCCTAAAATTCCTTTCATTTGGAAAATATTTATTTAATTTATATTAACGGTATAAAATAAAATAAGACATTTCATAAAAATTTTTCACGTAATTGTAATTTGAGATTCGTATAAAAAATTTTTGGTTACTGAAATCCAGAGAATGGAAAGTTACTTTTTAAAAGTAACTTTTGGTGACGGTAACTAAATTAAACATTACCATTACTTAAAAAATAACAATTCGTTACTTTTCCGTTACTTTTTGAATTCAGTATTCTCGATCCACAATTTATGAATGTAGCACGAATTCGTACATTTTCTCAGTGCTTTCTTGCTACGATTTTATCAACAGTGTTGGAAAAAGGATGTAATCACGTAGTATCTAAATCGAAAATGGATGTATTGGCGCTGATGTACGATTTCGACGGTGTTACGACGAAAAATGCGAAATGCGGTTTACAATAGAAATCGTAGCGGTCGTAGGGTCTTAAGTCGTAGAAAATTGACCAATCACAGTTGATTATTCTTCTCATATTCGACTGTGATTGGTCAATTTTCTACGACTTAAGACCCTACGACCGCTACGACTTCTAATGTAGACCCCGCAAAAAAAGCCGGAGGAATCCGTGGAATCATAGCATGGCGTTTTTCCTTGGTTGCATTAAAGACCCTTTAATCATGGTATGATTAATCATATATGGTATATGGTATACGTTTCGATTTCAATCTTCAATGCGTAGTCTGATTTCAGCCTAATGCTAGATTCACACTGCATCCGATTTTCGTC